TATTTATATATCTCTTTTTTCTTTTATTTTTTTAAGATTTTATTTATTTATTTGACAGAGAGAGTAAGAAAGCACAAGAAGGGGGAGAAGCAGAGTGAGAAAGAGAAGCAGATTTCCTGCTGAGCAGGGAACCCGACACAGGTCTCAATCCCAGGACCCCAGGATCATGGTCTGAACCGAAGGCAGATGCTTAACTGACTAAGCCACCTAGGCACCGTATATATATCTCTTCTTTCTGTTAACACTGCATTTTAAATGTCTTTATTCATTCAGTGTTTAGATTGTCCTTTTATGTGTTCAAGAATGTGCTAAGCAAAGAGTTAAGAAGCTTTTTCCCCACCCTGAAGTAGGTCATACTTTTGTTGAAAGAGAAGTGATCCAGCATGGTACAGTGTGGTTTGTGATGTGATTGGTGTTGTGCTCTGGAAGGGTAAACAGATTTAGACAAATCAGACTCTAAGGGTCTTCTGAGAAATGAAAACTTAAGGAGTCATAAATAACAAGAATGAGATAGTAACCCATATTAGGATGCTAATATGTATTTGACCAAGGCAATATGTGAGTTTGGGTTTCCTATGGCCCCAAAAGGAAGGTCTGTGGGGTTTGCTTTTGGAAGTTAGGTGCTAAGAAAGCAGACTCTGAGACAAAATTACCATGCAAGGAGTTTATTAGAGAGGGTTATAGGCTCAACGCATGTGAGAAGAGAAGGCCGCAGATGGAGGAGAGGAAAAGCTGAGGGGCTGGCCAGTCACAACATGGCTTCAGTCAAAACCTGGGTGGGGGAGGGGGCTCTGAAGTGGCAATGACCTTTCAGAGGCAGAGTGAGGGGTCTGAGTCTTCATCCCCCCACATCCAGGCATTGGATACAGGGGAGAAAATGGGCTAAATGACTCATTTCAGCCAAAGGCAGTTCCAAGAATGCCCCCCAAATCTCTGTATTTACCAAACATCTATACTTCTCAATTACTGAACCAGTTTGCTGTCTCTTACCTTGGAATCCTCTATCTTTCAGAGGTTTAATTTCCTTTGTGTTCACATCATATTCCTCATCTGGACAGGTTATGGTTGCAGGTTTGATTTTATACAATCACAGGCATGAGGAACAGAACGTCCCAGACAAAAACTTAGTTTGGATCATTTTCCTGAGAAGACAGTTTCTGTCATGGGATGTACCTGGAGTATCACAGTCTCTATATCCTGCTTCTTTAAGAAGGAGAAGGACCACTGAATCTGCTGCTATGAAAAGGTAATGATAGAAAAAGAAAAAACAACTTTCCTCAGCAGCTATCTCCCACCTGGGGTGGGATTGTGGGAAAATATGAGATCAGTGACCTCAAGGAGACCAGGCCTTTATCTGTTAAAAGTCTACCAAGGCTACCAAGAAATAGAGGCATGGTTTATAATGTGGAGTATTAGGGCCAACAGCATCGGCATCATCTAGAAATTGCTAGAAATGCAAACACTTAGGCCCCATTACAGACTTATTGGATCAGAAACACTGGGGGTGAAGCCATGCCATCTCTGTTTTAACAAGATCCCCAGATGATTCTGATATATACTGGAGGTGGGGCTTAATTTATTGCAGGTGATAAGTATCCTAAGCCAACTCTGTACAAGGAGCCATATTTATTGTTCTTTTTTAAAATTTCACAAATAATATCATTTTTCCCTGATTCTAACATGAATTTATATTCATAGAGAAATATTTAAAATTGAAAAAGGATAAGAGAATGAAAATTCTATCACCTAGATAGCACTATTACAAACATTTTAGTGCATTTCTTTTCAGACATTTTACATGTATTTTTATTTGTAGAACATATGATGATACTAGTTATTTTGTAAACTGCTTTTTCATTTAATAACCCATTTAGCTCAGTACATGTAGGTGTGACTAGGATAACTCAGATGATCCAGCCTGTGAGTACAAATGATCTTACCTTTACTCTGAGCCCATCTATGCACTGATGGCCGGGCATATAGTCTCTTTATTTTTTTAAACTTTTTATTTTTTTCATCTAGTCTCTATAAAGTGCTTATCTTCCCCAATATCTCCAAGTTTAGAACTCTGGTTTTAAAATTTTAAGACGGCACATATATTTAAAAGCAAGCAATTTTTATTTTGTATTAGGCAGTGAAGACAGTTACAGAAGCAGGATGTCAACTAATAAAGCTAAATTTGGGGGAAACATTAGCAGACACAGTATCGGTTTTAGCTTCTAAATATGAGTATATATTATCTGCTCTGAATTTCTCCTTGGCACTTCCTCCATTCTGTTTCCCTCAATTCTCAGGAAAGAAATGTCCAGGGAGAGAAAATGTTCTTTTCTCAATTCAAGGCTGTAGACAGTGTGTGAACTTGAATAAGGAAAGCCGGAGCAAATTATCATCATTCTTGTTATTATTATTTTGTAGAGATATTTCATAGTGCCTGCTGTTCGGGTTTGTGGGGTCTGGAACACAGGGCAGCCTTCTGAGTCAGGCAGATCTGGTTGAGAATCTTTGTTGTGGCATTGGCTGGCTCCATGGCTTATTACGTTACTTTGAACAAATCACTTCACCTTGAAAGTCTGGTCATTCTCACCTGAGAAAGGACTATAGTAACAGAAACTACTTTGCAGGTTAATTTAACAGTTGAATAATGTTTTAAATGAAGAATTTTTTTCTGAAAACTTCTTGGTTTAAAGAAAACAAAAATTCTACTGATCATGTGAAGCAAATGACCTGTATTTGCTTGTGTCTTTTCTCTCTCCACTTCCCTACCTCCAGGTGAACCTGAAAGTAAACAGGTCAACACCAGGGCTGAAGTGTGACAAAGACGTCCTCCTGACTGCCCAGCCTCTGCCTCCCTGTCCCTTTCCTCTAGGGCAGCAGACTCTGCTTCAGACTCAGGAGCCTGTTCAGTTCATCCTCCTCCCTTTGAAGCCAAATCCAAGGACATGAAGAGACATTTCTTCAAAGAGGTTATAAAGATGCCAAATGAGCACATGAAAAAATATCCAACAGCAGGAGCCATTAGGGAAATGGGAACTCAAACCACAATCAGATATCACTACACACCTATCAGAATGGTCAAAATCGAAACAGCTAACACACATTAATTAAACTGGGATGAAATACGTTTTGTTCTTCAGCAGGTTTTCACAATCAGTGATCAATTTCATCTCAAATTATGCGATGACGCTAAAGCAGAACATGAGGTCAAGTAGTAGAACTAGCCCCAGACATCTGGGCCATGGCTCTGGTTCTTACTGGGCGAAAGTCACTGTGACTGTGGGAAAGCCACCAAGTCTCACTGAACATCAGTTTCTCTGGTCCCACATTTGATCCACAATGATTTCTGAGAGCTCCTGGCTGGAAGAGCTGGAATCCCTTCATCAACAGCAGCTGTGATGAGAGTGGAAACCCTCTCCCTCAGTTGGCATGGGTGCGCTTCTGTCCAGCTTTCTTCCTCCCAGCCACTCCCCTTCCCACCAAGGGAAGTCTGGTGCAGTCCTGTTTCTTCTAATCTTCATCTAACACTTCCTTTTGCTAGCAAGACTCCTTCATGCATACTTCCTCTTTTTAAAAGATTTTATTTATTAGAGAGAGAGAGAGAATGAGCCATGAGCAGGGGGAGGGACAGAGGGAGAAGCATGAGCAGGGGGAGGGACAGAGGGAGAAGCAAACTCCCCACTGAGTAGGCAGTCCCAAGCAGGGCCCATCCCAGGGCCCCAAGATTATAATCTGAGCTGAAGGCAGATGCTTAATGGACTGAGCCACTCGGGAATCCCTCCTTCATGCATATTTCTAATAACTGGCTCTTGTTGGATATACTTTAATTTATTATTTTAATTTGTAATGTTCATGTGACTAAAAATTGAAATATAAAAATAAGCTGTAAGAGCACCTCTGCCCTGTCCTCTTCCCTTAGTCTCTCATCCCCAAAATACAGGTTATCATTGTAATTTATTTCTTATATATTCCTTATTTGTTCATGTACAAGTTAGGCCAAACGTAAAATTTGTTTTACATTTTAATTTTAAATACAACATTTTAGATACACTGTTCTGCCTCTTGCCTTTTCTTTTTTTTTAACTTTTTTTCAGTATAGCAAGAGCATCCTCATTCTTTTCTCCAGCTAAGTAGTGTTCCTTTGTGTGAACATAATTTAACTGTCTCTAATTAAAAGAGTCTGTGTAATTTCCTGTTTTGGGATATTATAAATAATGATGTAATGAATAATATTGCACATAAGTCATTATACATATGTGCAAGGCTTTTTATAAGATAAATTTCAAACCCAGAATTTATGGATCAAAAAACTGTAATTTTAATAGGTATCACCAAATTGCCTTTATTGTGATCTTACCAATTTCCAGTGCTCTGGCAAATTATAAGAGCATCCCTCCCCCAAATCTCCATAGAGTGTGGGCTTTCACCCATCTGTTATAAATGGCATGTTACTCACTTTTAATCTGTATTTCTTAATATTATGAGTGAGGCTGAATCTCTTCTCGTGCATTTGTTTTCCCTCTGCAGTCTGCTTGTTCACGTCCTTTGGCCCTATTTCTACTGTTACCTGTAACAAATATTTGGTGTGTATTGATATTTTCAAATCTTGCAGTGCAGATTATCCCTAGTTATTTCTCATTGTGTCTACCAAGTTCTGGCAAAGAAATCATTGGAATGGATGTTCTATGTCAAGAAAAGTATTATTACACTGGGGACACATTTCATTTTATTTACCTGGTCAACTTGCATGAAAATATACCCATTTGAAGAACCAGTTATGAAATATTAATGAATCTACTATAACTCATAAAACTTAAGACAAATCAAAGATACAAAGTGACATTACAAGTTACAGACTATTGTAGTCAGTATGCATGATCTTAAAGGACAGATTAAAAAAAATATATATATGCATATATATATATCTCCACATAAAACCAAAACAATGCTACCAGTTTATGACAAAATGAAATAATAGAGTCTGGAAAGCCCTCCCACCCCTCTGTCTACCCTATGCTTTTAAAGCCTGGAGATGGCTCTTGCTCCACTTGGAAGGAATCTGTTTCTTGTTTGCTTAGCTTTCTTACCAGCTGGAATGCAAAGAACAGACACCGGTTGATTTCTACTCGAACAATGGTCCAGGCGCAGCTGCTGTACTCCTGGTTTTCCAGGTAATTGTGGATCCTCCGGAAGTACTTTTTAACCTGCAACCTAGGGGTCCCACCACTCAAGACACCACTGTTCTGCTCTGCTCCCAGGCCTCTGAGGGCCCCTAGGTATTCCAGCTGTTGATGAAGTTCACTGAGGAAAATTCTCCACATGGCTCCTCCCAACCATCCAGAGAAATACCTGCCCTGAAGAGGTTGAAGGTCTGCAGAAGCATCTCATGCAGAATGGCCAGGGCCTGTCCACTCTGGGACCGGCGACGATTCACAGACTGCTGGGGAAGGAAGTTTGTCCTGTGTGGCAGACACGGCTGAACTGACGATTTTGGGAATTTATTCAACAGTTTTAAACTCTCTCTGTTTACTCTTTGTTGGAAGACAGCCAGTTTCAGTTCGAGGGAGAAGAGAGTAGAGGAGGCCAAGAGCACCAACACAACTGCAAAGAAATGCTTGTTAATCATGGTGAAGGTCGAATGCGCCACTTATCTCTGTACAGACTTAGTACAGCTCCAGCTCTAGTGAATGTTTGCTTTTCATGCATCTCAGATTGTTCTGGGAAGTGTCCTCCTTTGTGGGTTCTGTTGTCTAAGTCTGTCCTAACTCCAAGATTAGACTTTAGGTTTTCTGGTTACCTTTTCATAGTGTTTATGGAACACTTCCTCCCCTTTCCCCATTGTGTTGGCTGTTTGACGAAGTAACCAAAAGAACTTGTTTCATTGTATGTGTTCCTTGAGATAATTACAGACTAGTCACCCAATATGATTTTCTATTACCCTCATTATTCCATACAAAGTTTCACTCAACACAATATGTCCTCTCAATATTTAGTCAAGCTTATTAAAGTTCTTTTATTGAGAGTATTTTTTAAAGGAGTACTCTTTTAATATTTATATTAAATACGTATCAGAGGTTTAGCAGCACCTATAGGGCACTCGGGGGATAATTAAAATCTATACAGACTATTAAATTTAAAACCTCAAGTAGAACTGTAAATTTGCACAAATGTTTGAGCAAATTAACTTTAAAATACATATGAGCAATCTTAAATTGTTTTACATCTTATTGAGGCAGTTGAATATCTAAGTTCCTGGCCTATAAAAGATAATATGAAAGAGAAAAAAAATAGAAAAAGAAGGTCATTATAAAATTATTGCATCTGCAGAACACTAGAAATGGCGTATAGGTCCAACAATAAGGAAATGGTTAAATAAATGTTGGTAAATCCATTTAATTAAATGCTGTGTAGGGGCAGCTGGGTGGCTCAGTCAGGTAAGAGGCTGCCTTCAGCTCTCAGGTCATGATCCCAGAGTCCTGGGATCAAGCCCCACATTGGGCTCTCTGCTCAGTGGGGAGTCTACTCCTCCCTCTGCTTCCCCCGACTTGTGCTCATGCTTGCCATCTCTCTCTCAAATAAATAAATAAAATCTTAAAAAAAAATTCTATGTAACCATTTTTAAAAAGATATTTAATTTTTTTTTAATTTTTAAATTTATTTATTTTTTTTAAATAAACATATAACGTATTTTTATCCCCAGGGGTACAGGTCTGTGAATCGCCAGGTTTACACATTTCACAGGACTCATCATAGCACATACCCTCCCCAATGTCCATATCCCCACCCACGTCTCGCATCCCCCCTCCCCCCAGCAACCCTCAGTCTGTTTTTTGAGATTGAGTCTTTTATGGTTTGTCTCCCTCCCAATCCCATCTTCTTTCATTTTTTTCTTTTCCTACCCCCCAACCGCCCCACATTGCATCTCCACTTCCTCATATCAGGGAGATCATATGATAGTTGTCTTTCTCCGATTGGCTTATTTCGCTAAGCTTAATACCCTCTAGTTCCATCCCCGTCGATATTTTAAATTTTGGGAGAGAAAGAGAAGATAAGAGAGAGAGCATGCATGTGCACAGTGGGGAGAGGAGAGAGAAGCCCAAGCAGATTCTGTCCTGAACACAGAACCCTACTCGGGGCTCAGTCTCACAACCCTGAAATCGGACCTGAGCTGAAACCAACAATCCAACGCTTAACCAACTGGATCACCCAGGTGCCCCGCTATGTAACCATTATAAATGATAAAATTATATGGGAAGAGATTGGGGGCAGTTGGCTGGTATGTATTCTTTAGGGTACCTGTAACTACAGTAAACTTTTACATCAATATCTTTAAATCAGTAATGCCTCTCGAATTACAAATATCCAGCTCCACATTCTAAATCCTCCTGAATATGCCTCCAGTCTGCATTCCCAATCTTATCTCCCACTATTGCTCCAAATGTCCTGTGAGGGAAAATGAATGCCAGATAAGGTTAATGACTCACTACTGCCTTAATATAGCTAGCAGTGTGTGTGTGTGTGTGTGTGTGTGTGTGTGTGTGTGTTTGTTTATTGGATGCTTTCTCTCTCAGAAACATCACCCATGCCTCCTTCATCACCTGTACCTGTCTGTGCAAGGACCAAGGATTACTTCTTCTTTACGGCCTAGATTTTATTTTAAAGAAACTATAATCTCTCTTCTGGATCCTCACAGTACCGTGTATCTTTTTAAAAATGCCTTTCTTGTCCTGTCTCATATATGGCTATTTTTTGGGTCACATTTACACTTAATGTGATTATACACATAAATAAATATAATTAATGTACTACAGCAGGATTACCTCTACCATGTTACTATTTATTTTTAAATTGTTCATGTTTCCCCTTTTTGGGATTGATTACAAAAAATGATTCCATTTTATCTCCACTACTGGTTTATCAGCTATACCACTTTTTTTTCCCCAAAGATTTTATTTATTTATTAGAGAGAGAAAGAGCACAAGCAGTGGGGAAGGACAGAGGGAGAGTGAGAAGCAGGCTCCCACAGAGTTGGGAGTCCAATGTGGGACTCGATCCCAAGACCCTGGGATCATGACCTGAGCTGAAGACACACGCCAACTGACTGAGCCACCCAGGTGCCCCTACCTATGCAATTTTAGTCTTATGGTAGTTTCTCTAGGGCTTAAAATATATATATCCTTATTTAGCATATTACAATTTACTTTCAAATAATATTACACATGGCTTAAAGTTCAGTATGGAGGGTATTACAACAATATATTTCTTTTTCCTTCCTCTCATCCTTTGTTGTCATACATTTTCATATGTTTTAAATCCCACAAATATTTATACTATATTTATTTTAAATAGTCAGTTACATTTCGAAGAGATTTTTAAGATGATAAAGTATTTCATTTATATTGACTCATTATCATGTATTTAACCACGTAGTTACCCTTTCTGGTCTTGTTCAATCCTTTTGGTAGATCTAAATTTCTATTTGGTATCATTATTCTTGAATAACTTCTTCTTCTTGACTAACTTCCTTTAATTATTCTTCTATCACAGGTCTCCTGGCAATGAATTCTCTTGGCTTTCTGTTTGTCTGAAAAATTATTTTGTCCTCAGTTTGGGATTATATTGTTGCTGAGTACAGTATTCTAGGTGGAGATAGTTTTTCTTTCGGTACTGTAAAGATACTGTTCCACTGTCTTTTGGCTTTCATGATTTCCAAAGAGAAGACTGCTGTCATCTTAATTTTATTTTTCTGGGCATCATCAGTCCTCTTTTTCCCTGGATGATTTTAAGGTATTCTTTCTGTCATTATATTTCAGTTATTTGATGATAATGTGCCTTGGTGTGATTTTCTTCTTGTACCTTCTATTAGGAGTTTCTTATGCTTCTTGAATCTGTGGTTTCATCATTTTAATTAAATTCGGAAAAGTTTCGGACCTTGTTTTTTCAACGTTTTTTTATCTCCTTCTGGGACTCTAACTACAGAAATACCAAACCCATTTAGTATGATCATACAGGCAATTGATGTTCAGTTAGTCTTTATCTCTTTTATTTTTTATAGTTTCTATGGTGATGTCTTCGAGCTCACTGATACTGTTTTCTGTAGTATCTTACCTGAATGTTAATCCATCTAATATATTTATCACTTTAGGTAGTATGTTTCTCATCTCTAGAAGTCCACTTTGCTCCTTTCTGATCTCTTTCATTTTCTTCCTCATCACGTTCATCTTTTCTCCTATCTTGTTGAGCTTATGAGATATGTTTATAAGAGGTATTCTAGCCTCCTTGTCTGCTACTTCGGTTATTTGCGTCATTTCTAGTCCTTGTTTCTTGATTATATTTTCTACTGTTTTTGGGTCCTATTGTCCTGCTTCTTTGTATGTCTGATAGCTTTTGATCGGGAGTCAGAACATTGTAATTTTGACATTACTGGATCTGTGAAGTGCTTCGTATGTGGTTGGGCTTTGTTTTAGGACATCGTTGAGTTACTCTCTTCGATTCCTTTGGGGCTTGCTTTTACACCTTGCTAGCATGGATGGAGCAGACTTCATAGTCTAGGGCAATGTCATCTCACTACCAAGGGACTATCCTTATATGGACTCTACTTGCTGGTCCCTATTCTATGAAATCTTTGCACTTTGGGTGGTGGAAACATGAACTAGTCCCAGCCCCGTGTCCACCCTGGGGATAGGCCCATTCCTTCCTGAGAATTCTTTCCCTGGTCTCCAAACTCTAAGTGACATGGGCACTAGGTATTCTTTAAAAAAAGTTATGTATGTGCATGTGTGTGTGTACATGGAATTAAGTGTGTGCCTGTACACATGTCTGTGCATGTGAAGGGTCATGAATTACATTCAGAGCCCATGAGACAGTAAAACTTGGTGCATGGGTCCCTTTTGTTTGTGGATGGTATTAAGACAATCCACTGCAAACTTACACTACTTTAGAGAAAAACAATGGGGAAATATCATGACAGTGGAAAAAAAAAAGTGCTAAGTCTTAAGCATCACTGATTAAGACAAAGTCTTTGAGCGTGCCTGAGTGGCTCAGTGGTTAAGCATGTGCCTTCAGCTCAGGTCATGATCTCAGAGTCCTGGGTTCGAGTTCCATATTGGGCTCCCTGCTCAGTGGGGAGTTTGCTTTTCCCTCTGCCTGCTGTTGCCCCTGCGTGTTCTCCCTCTCTCTCTGACAAATAAATAAATAAAATCTTAAAAAAAAGACAATCTTTGAAGAAAATGGAATAAACTAACAGTGGCAATCTATCTGACTAGGATGGACTTGTAAGTGACTTTTAAAATTATACGCAAGCAATGAATCATGGAACACACTACAAAAACTAATGATGTAGTACTAACATAATAATAATAAAAAAAAATAACTGCACAAGCTTACATTTTTATTCACCTTTTCCCCCCACAAATTTAACATTGTCAATCTAAAAAGTATAATGCTGTAATTAAAATTCTGATCACTTCTGTATGTTAAAAACATACCAAGAGTTCATTAGTAAGGAAGACACTTTAAATTTGGCCAAAGAATGGCAGCATAACATCAATTACTTAGAGCCTGGGATCAATTTTGCACTGTTGGCAAGGGAAATCAAAACGTTCAAGGCACCTAGTGGTCTAATGA